GTTTGGGTACGAATGTAGAGAAAAGAAAATGGAGCTTTGGCTTGTGTGAAGTGGAGAGCTGGATTTAAGATTCACATATAAAAGTGGGCTTGGGAAATGCTGCCAGTTCAGAAATTCAGTGTGCTCTGCCTAAAACTGTGGAGACGGGGATATTCTCCCATAAGCAATCAAAGCCCACAGTTTTACCATGTTTGATTGTGTGACCACATTTATGTTTTGGCATGATATAGACATTGCCAAGCCAAGAAATTAATTATAAATATTATTCCATACAAGTAAAACCCGTGAATCCTCTTATAGAAATAAATGCATCACTTTGGTGTAGCAAGTCTAAAACCCAGGCTAAACAGAACTCCCAGAGTTGAAAAACAAATAAACAATGAAACAATAAAATTTACAAATCACAGAAGGAAACAGTCTACTGTGAAGAGTTAGCAGTGGTCTACCAAGGACTTGGAGAACTTATAGTGAATATTAAAGATGCATATGCTTAAATGATTAAAGAGCTAAAGGAAGCAATATAAACCAAAGTGATAAAAAAGTATAGAAAAATTAAAAAGGAAGGATTTATATATTAAAATATTTTATGTTTTTCCTTCTATTTTGTCATGTATTATTGCTCTGTAACTGTTTTATATCATTGCCTTTTGATACATATATAATCAATACATATATATTTCATGTAGTGAAAAGTTTCTCCTACAAATGATAGTGCTGTAATGCCAATATAACAAAGTCATTCCAATTTTTTCCAAATATTACATATAGTCCAATCAATAAAGTTAAAATTTTTCTTGTAATGTTGTTTGTTACTTGTATTTATGAAAATTTCTTTAAAAGCTAATGTATTTAAAAATTCAAGTCTTCACATTTATTGTATTTATAGTTTATACATATATTATATTTACATTTACTATCTTGCCTAAATAAACTTCATATAAAGAAGTATTTAATCAGAAACAATGTATTTATGTCTTTAATAATACAATGTAATAACAATTTAATAATAATAATAATGACCTATTTACCTCTTTACAAAAGTGACATTTGTATAAATGTGTGATCAGTGCGACATTTGTGGTATTTTATGGTAGCCTGTGTTATGGATAAGGTAATTTTTAAAGCCCCTCTCTAGCCATAACCACTGTCTTTTAGTAAGCAATTTTATATTTTGATTCATAGTCAACTCTTTCACTCCAAATTCAGTTCTGTGATTGCTGCTTGTCTCAGCTGAATTTCAATGCTAGCCTTTCCAATTGTTTTCTAAATGCTCAATTCCTTACTTACCCATGCTAAGTTTCTCATACCTTACAGAATTCCAATCAACATTCCTGGAGGCACTTTGCATCTTTTCAAAACCTTCTTTCCCTAAGTAAAAAATGTTGGCATTGTTTCTTGTCATAAACAGCATACACTCTTGAGCATTTCAAATCAAATAATAAGTTGATAACTAGATTTGAGACGCTCCCAAGCTTCAGTCTGATTTATCATACTTGGCTAAATTTTTAGGAAAAGTTCCAGGAACTAAAAAAAAAGTCACTAAAAAACTTCTCCCATTAAAAGACTATCCCAGGAACCTCTCAGAAACAGAAAACAATGTGGCAGGAGGACAGAACTTTTCTCTATAATTAAACTGCCTTTATCCTAATCAATATCAGTGTAATTAAAATCTTTCATGGTCGATATTTCAGCCTTTCTGAGATGGTTTGCTGTTCGTCTTACGAAAAGTTACTCTCTTCTGTTTCTCTATAGGTTGTTTTTATGTGGAAGAGCCATGTCCAAGACTGTGTGGATCCTAACTTTTGAGAAAGACAAGAAAGGAGGGAGGAAGAATGGAGTAAAAAAGAGAAGGGAGGGAATGAAAATAAATAAAAATTAATGGATTGGTTTGATTACTAATTATATTCTGCGGATCCTTAATTCCCAGAATATTTTTTCTGAATAACATGAAAAAGGAAAGTAATCTAATCTGTATGAAGAGTGTTTGGTACATCAGATTTACAACACACTCAAATATTTACAAATGCTCAAGACCGTGTTAAGGGCTAGGAGGGAAACTAAATCTAGTTCCTCTTGACTCAGTCTCGACTTGTCAAAATAAAATATCAATGAGGAAAGGAAAGTATTATACTGGTTGACAATTTTATCTGTAGGATATCAAATAACAGGATCTATACAAGTGCTAGGGACCTGGTTAATTTAAACCTCTTTCAGGTCACATATCAATGTTTTGTTTTTATTTTTTTTCATCCAGGATTGAACTCAGAACCTTGCACTTGCCAGGCTGGTGGCGGTACCACTGAGCTAAATCCCTGGCCCTCATATATCTATTATTAACTTTTGTTCAGAGAACACAAATGTGTGGCCTGGAGTTGTGTTTTTACAGAAATGTACAGAATAACATTTAAATTTTTGAACTTGTTAACAGTCAAAATGTTGAGGAACTTTGCCAGACATCTGTCTATATTTCCATAGGCACGGTTTACGTCCTATGTGCTGGTTTGGAGATGAGTTTCCTAAACTTCTTCAAGTTTGCATTTGTGGATGATTGTTAGCATGAACCTTTTAACCCATGACACATTTTTATCCATTTGGCAGCAATTTTATTAATTTAATTTCAGATAAAAAATCCGCCTTTAAATTTTCTGGACATCTTAGTATAACCTCCATGAATTATCCTTTCCTGAATGAATAACTGTAATTCTTGCCTTAAGTGAAAATTCCTTGAGGGTAAAAATATAACATGATAACATACTTTAAAATTTCCTTTAGCTTTTTCACCTGTGCTGCTTCAATCTTATAGTCAGGACATAACTGCACATATAGAAAGGAACAGGTATCTCTCTGCAATTTCGATGGCCTCTAATATATCTTATTTATATATATTATCTATTTCTACATGGAATATTTTCTATCACTATCTCATTTTATAGAAAGTGAAATAAATTTCTTAAGTCTGAATCTAGTATATGGGCAGAACTTGGAGCTAGATCTATGCTCCTTTGAGCTTAAATTCTGTGTATTTGTGTGTGTGTGTGTGTGTGTGTGTGTGTGTGTGTGCGCACA